ACAAAAGTAAAGTTGAAATGCTTTAAATAACAAAAGATTGCAATTTTCACTGCATTGCAATTGTAAGAATACAATTATTTTAGTTATTTATTTGTTTATTTTTAAAATCAAATTGCATAAGATCACAGGATTGGTTTTTATTCCGCATTAGCCCTTTCTTAATATCCTGGGCCGGCCGGGTTGTTCAATACCCGATTAAACTAACCCAGGACTACTGAAAATTTTGATTTCAGGTTTGTATTTTTTTCAGGGGCGTAGCCAGCATTTTTGCATAGACGGGTTCCTACCTTAGTATCGGTGACCCAGTTGAAATGAAAATCCAGCGCCGGAGGTGCTCTTTGCTAGGGAGGTCCGGGGGCATGCTCCCTCGGAAAATTTTGGTATTTCAGGTCCTCAGAAATAGCATTTCCTTGATTTTGAGCGCAAATTTCCAATTATCTCAGCATTGCCAAACGTAACTAGAATTTCCAAGAGGAGATTGCAAATCTCGCTTCCGAAAGAAACGCTAACAAAATTAACTAGTGCGACAATCTCAGATAGTGCAGACTGCAATTGATAGCTCTGGCACGGTAGTCGCATACGTACTCACCCCTGCTCGGTTCACTTCCCGTTTGTATTTACCTTGGTAGTCTGCTAGGGCTTTTCCCCTTAGCAGTGAGTACGTTTCAAGGTTGTATTTTCACCCACGGTACGAAAATTACTTACAATTACTGTTTGTCACGACAGCTTTTAAATTTTACTCTGGTGTTTTACGATGATTTTCGTTCATTTTAAATTCAATAATACGTTGAACAAACGTGACAATTTGGCTCTTTGCGCCAACTTTGTAGCTTGATACTTTTGTTTTCCTTGCAAAGGTATGTAACATGAAACTCTTGTTTTCTTCAAAACACACGGAAGATGAGCTTGCTTTGGGGGATAAATTAAAGAAAGTTAAATATCGGACGAAGAAATGGAAGAGGAACAATTTTGTTTTTTCTCAAAACGCAAATTTTCTTATCACAGATGAACAAGAACTAATTTAATTATCAGATAGTCACGGAATACGACTTTCTTTTTCTGTTGCCACCTTTGTTGTCAAGGCCTCGGGTATTTCTTTCTCAATTACGGCTAGCAAAAGCTAGTTACGCTTCGGTGAATACTTAAAAAAAAATTGTAAACTTTCCAAAGTAAATGTTCCAAAAGCATGTTTCTTGTTAGGGGTTGATCACAGGAATGGACGATTGGGAGGTTCAGACAGTGAGCCCTGCAGTGTGTGTACGCAGCCTTTGTACTTTTTTCCCGTATCAGTGCTTGTACGCCTCGCCTAGGAAAACATGTTAGACGCGCCATTGTACCCTTGCCCCCAACAGTTTCTTATGTCTAAGTCGTAACCCAAAGGGAGGGTTCCGGAACCCTCCCTTTGGGTTACGACTTAGGGATAAGGGGTAACGACTTAGGGATAAGGGGAGGGTTCCGGAACCCCTGGAACCCTCCGCTGGCTACGCCCCTGTTTTCGGTAAGGATTTCAGTTTTGAGCTTGGGTGGTCTCAAACTACGCAAAACGTAAGAAGTGAAAAACATTCTATGGACGAAAGCTTGATGCTTCGATTAACTTTTATTCCTGGGTTGGCGTTAACCGGTTTTCCAACACCCTGGCCCTGATGATGTATTTTGTTCTGCGATGTACAAGGCAATTTCTTTGTATCATGAATAGCACAACAGTACTTCAAACGAATTGCGGCTGTCTCTCCTTACTACCCTTAACTCGATCGCAATAGAAATATTGATGATACAAAAAACCCCAAAGACAGTACATCACTTTTTCTCTTCAGGTAAACAGAAGGAGCTGAATGAAGAAGCACAAACAACAAAAATCTATTAGCGGAAAAATGGCGCTCCGTCGCTCAAACTACGACACAAACGGATTGGTTTCTTTAGGTATTAAATTAAGAGTTTTGATTGAGCTAATGATACACGTACATTAAGCTCTAATTAATTCTAAAATAAACTGAATTATGCTATGGGAATCAGTTGCGAGTTTGTCTTATTTTATGAACAAATGCAAAGCTTAGCTGATTTCCTCTTTTTTATATGCTTTTTTAAGTTCTACAGTTTTTCAAAATGTAGTATCCAAGAAAGCTTTGCTGAACTTCACCTGGGATTGAACTTAATTTGGCTTCAATGATCGCGATTCTAGATCAAATGTCTTTGACACAGATTTCTGCTGGAGTGCTCTACCTTTCCTAAATCCCTTTTACAAAAAAGCATCAAAGATTATGATTCCAAACAAACAAATTCAAGGACAGACAACGGTACATCATGTATGTTATAGCTGAGTGCAAAGAGTTAAAAACACATGAGAAGAACAGAGAAAATGTGTCAAACAAAAGACAGCTTATTGAGCTAAGCGTCAGTACTCTCGCAGCCAGTTTAATTAATCGTAATACTTTTGTTCTAATGACTGTTTTAGCATATCTAGAGAGACCCTTTGTAGGTTGACACCCATTCATTTTATTCGTTCTCTTATATAGTTAACATACTTTCCGCATTCTTACGCTGTTTGCACATTTTTCAAGTAGTTTTTCCCTCGATAGAATAGAACATTTAGAAAAAAGTATGTCTCCTGTCTCGGCCAATGAAAATTGACTCAGTTTGCCCTCTCTGTTATAAAGTGAAGAGACCGTGAAACAATGAGTTTGTTAGTGATATTCCTGTCATGGCATTATTTTCAACTGCTTTCCACCTTCCAGTGTTCCGGCCGATCAGCAGCGATAGCCGACAGTTCTTATAATATTTTCCATACTATATTGCCAAATGCCACCAAATAAACATATAAACTGGATAAAACAGAACAAGTAGGGTTCGACAGAACGCACCATGTATCTGTTAGCTTTGGAGGACTTTTTACTCCCGCTTTGCATAGTAAAATCGGAAAGTAGATGCCGAAATTATACTGGAATTTTAATTTAAAAGACAAATACAGATGTAATCGCTAGACTTTTTGAGTTCTCCTTTTTCAAAAGGGGTCCAGATGACTATCTATAAGGCAACATTCATAGTTAGTATAATTTCCAGAGGTGAATATAAAAATTGGACATTCCGATTGCTTGAAAAACTCGGCTTATTTTTTTGGCCTGGTTTCTGAGCTCGCCACCTTGCCATCTCGGCAAGTCAACATATGCATGGTGGACAGTTGGTGAATGAAATTTTCATTTTTTCGGCAGACATCGCTCCAAGTCCAGGATATTTGAAAGGATGAAGAATTTTGGAAATGACTGCTGTCGCCCCTATACCAAAATTCTTTTCAAAAACCCGTATTCGTATCCTTACTGCGCACGCAAATTCACACACCACGTCATGCATGAGCGCGCGCCCTAAGCAATAAAATGAACAATGACAGGGCAGATAGCCATTGCTAGGACTTATCCTAGATTTTACGATCTTGGATGTTCGGTGACCCCTCCTTTTCTTTGGATGGATCATTTTCTCTACCGATTTTCTACGTTTAGCGAAAAAATGAAGAAAATTTATTGCATGAAGTTTGAATTTTTTGCAAAATGCACCATCGAATTCCGTTCTTTTTAGCTCTTCGTTTATCTGTGCGACGGTTTCAAATGCCTCTTGAAGGAATAAGTTTTGTGAAAACGTTGGTAACATTTGGAATTATTTATGCAACAGACCCTCTTCTACAGAATATAACTAAGATCGTTTACCTCCGTTGACTCACCTTCGACATTTTTAATTATAAACCCCTGTAGACCATGCTGAATTACATGCGCCAATTTTTCAAATCTGGGTAGTTTTCCACACGCTTTCTCTCTGAAACGAGGTCGGTGATCCCCAATTTTTTTTGCATTTCTGACACAAGTAACTGATTATCTGACTGCAGTAGAAATTTAAACTAGACGCCTTGCTGCGTGTACCCAGGCAGCCGTTACACTAGCTATATTGCAATTGAGCTAAATGTTCTGCATTTGAAGTCGTACGAAATTCAATCGAATCGATGTGCTCAAGCTATTCTTCAGTGGAATCGATTAATAGCTTATTACTCGTTTGCAGGCCTTTAGGGCGTGAAATGAGTCAAGGTCTTTATATCAACCTATAAACGTCTCAGTCTATTTTCCTTAGCCTTTGTCGTTGTTGTTGGTTTATTTTTGCATTTCCCAAGCAAGCGAGACATTTTGAATTTCAGAGTTATGGCGGTGCGTGACATAGAGCTACGAACGCGTTTGTCGAAAAACATATACTTATCTCGTGATGTTTAGCCCATTCAGAATTTAAAGTATTAGGAAAAGTGCTTATGTAAAATTGTTTGTTCAATACAGATAATTAGTCGCCTAGATTGCAAAAGTAAGTTGCAGGTGTTTACACTATATTCCGGCCGTAATGTTGGTGTACCGCGGAGTACATGGCGGCTCCATACTGGGCTCTGTAAATTTGTGCAAAATAGCTCGACGACTATCTGAGGTTTGGGAAAACGGACATCTTTATTAATCTCCTATAACACGACAATTTCTTGACTTTATCCACTAAATGGTTTTCGAATAATTTTATTGCGTCAGGATTGCGTGACAGTGCAAGCCAAGAATTGTTTTGCTGGGGTCAACATGCATTCACGGTTTCTTTCACCTTAAATGTACAATAATTCGCTACATGGGTTTTATTCTTACAAAGACACGTATCTCTGTTACAAGAAAATAATGAGAGAATATCGTTTAGTTCGAGATTTTAACTTTCTTATACTTTACGAAGTTTCTCAGAGCGTTTACTCAGGTGTACTCGAATAGATACATTCGTAAACAAATTCTCTAACCTTTCTGCTCTTGTTGCTCAGACGTTCTTGAGTTCGTACTGGGATTCTACTTGGTTCACGATCACGTCTAAAAATACGATGACGCTTCTGAAGATGCTTTTTATCAAGTTGAAGAGTTGATAGAGCCGGTTGATAGCTCCTTTGATGTAACATGATTCTTGATAAATTCACTCAAAATGTTCGCTCGTAAATTGGTCTCTCGTAAGACTTGCAGACCATTCTCGTCCCCAGTGCTACTCGTCCTAAAATGTCGTTGACGAGTAGCTCTTGACGCACCAAAAAATTCGAATTTTTTCATTGGCTGAAGAAAATGAATGCGCAGCAGAAATGAAAATTACAAAGCTCTACGCATTCTATTTTACTTCCGGCCCGAATGGTGGCACCTTCGCTCAGTTGACACAGGCGCGCTTTACGAAAAAAAAAACGCAAAACAGGTGGTGACCTTTCCCGATCGATCCGAATGAATCGTTAAAGTTTCCACGTAACCAAAGAAGAAGGTCGCCTACGACGATGTCATTCGCGATCGTAATCATCGTCCTTTGTTGTGGCAGCCGAGAGGGTGGGAAGAAACGTTTAAAACTCTGAGAATCAACCAGCTGATACAACAATTACTTTGTCGCTGACCATACCCCAAGAAATCATAAAATTAAGTTCGAATCGGCAGTGGGTTTCAAGAAACGTTTGTCTTCCTCTATGAAAAGCTCAAAAGGAAACTTAGAGCCAGGTGAAAAGACGAAGAAATATCACTCTTTCTAAGCAAATGTGGCACTGGAAATCCGAAGGTGAGTGTGTTTTTTTCTCTCTGAAAGATCAAGCAGATCAGATTCTAGCAGTCCAAAATGTATTGATATTAAATTGCCAAAATGAGTCAAAGGTCCGTGTTATAATACTCTGCTTCATACCTGGATGATGTCGCAAATGGTCAGAACATGAAATTTGGTATGTTTCTTCCACATGTTGTTGTGTATGTATCTGCTACTATCTGTTAAGAAGCTTCTGCTGTTGTAGATATATATAATATCTGTTTTTTAGCTCCCCTCTCTTCATTATTTAGACCTCCCATATAGTCTCACCCCCCAAAACACGAACAAACCTTTTGTGGTCAGGCAAGAGTTTAGTTTGCTTTAGAGCCTCCACCCAAATTTACTTTTTTAAATTATTTACTTGTGGAAATGATGTGTAAAGGAAAATAACCATAGATAACCATAGCTGAAATTTGAGGCCCTTTCCTCTTTCTCCACTTTAGGTAGGAAGCAACTGCAACTAGCAAAACTTTTTTCCGTCACAATAATATCAATCAGTAAATAACTTAATTTATCATCCTTGCAAATAACTGTGAACAAATATAAGGGACAATTATTTACACATGTATAACTGATAACAAATCATCAGACTATTGGGTTTCCAAATGTAATGTGGGAATTATCTCTACTAAAAACAAATCAAACATTATAGGTGTACAGAGTTACATTAATATCCCCTTAAGAAAAATATCATAATCTTTTTGTTAGCCTTTGAAAGATTATTTATTTCCTGGCATTATTTACTATTCGTTGTTAATTTTCAGACCATAATAGTGCTACATAAATTCCTTGAAGGATGACCATATATGGATAATTCAAATAGGAATGTTGGTCTTGCAGTTCGATAAATAATACTGAAAAAAAAGGAGATGGAGGTAGAATCATCGTTAATAGTAAAGCTATGTGGTTGATGTTCTGATCAAGCACAAGAAGTAGAAAGTATGCATTCAAGATTTGTTGTTGTACATGGTTATATAACAGGCTGAAGAGCCTTATTACCATGAACTAACACGAATTGTAGAAGAGCAACGACATTGCATTATTTCCCATTCATTTTGTTCATGCAGTTTCCTAAAAAAAAAAATCTTCCATAATGTAAATTGAGGCACACCAATATGAATCACTCTCTTCACATCAGGAACCTCTACATGTATACCAATGCCAAATACTAATGTTATAGTTACATCATTTTAGCTGTATTATATTTTTGATAACACCATGTACTCATATGGGAATACTGAAATAAATTGTTGTTGTTGTTGTTGTTGTTTATAAGCTGGTTGAAAGGTATAAAATGAACAAAAACAATTATATTAACAAAAGCAGTGGGGGACAAAATGGTGGGAATAGCCCTATATTTAGGTTTGTAATGTCTGCAGGCTTTTCTCAAGCCTTAATGTACAAAAATCATCATTAGATGTTCCAAATAAGCCAATTAAAATTGCTGCAGAGCCATTATGGAAGCCCCCAGCACACATATAACCACTTGATGACAACTGGCATAAGACTTTTATTTTTTTTTCTCTGCGTTTTTCTTAACATGGTAGCAACCACTTCAAAAGGCAATTACTATCCTATACCCTGGTTACCACTCATATTTTTTTATTCTCTCCATAGCCATATGCAAAATAGATTTCTCTTCTCATATTTATTTAATTATAACACTGGTGTAAATTAATTCTGCAAATAATGCACAATAAAAGTTGAT